AAACAAAACAGAGTCTGATAACATCTAATAATTGTTGTTTTCTTCTTTTATTTTGTACTTCATTGAAAATATATTGTACACATGCGGATGAAAAGTCCGTGATTTTCCCAAGGGAAAAAATAAACACATCTCGAGATTGAACAAATGTTGTACCTTGCCACCAATTAATCAAAATGTTCTCACATTTTATAGTCATCAATCATAATTATATATTAACCACGGTTAATTTCCTCAACGTCCGGTAACAAAAGTATTATAAAGCTATTCGATACGATATACGTACTCGACTTCTGGACCACCGATATCATTATCTTTTATTTTTTTACCTCAATTTCTTGACAACTCATTTGCATGAAAGTTTTTAAGTTCTAGCATCAAACAATTTGCCTGTAGATTTCGTTTCTTTACTCCTTTTCTAGGTCTATAAAACTTACACAATTTGCCTGCAGATTTTGTTTCTATACCCCTTTTCTAGGTCTATAAAACTTACACAATTTGCCTGTAGATTTCGTTTCTTTACCCCTTTTCTAGGTCTATAAAACTTACACAATTTGCCTGCAAATTGTGTAAGTTTTATAGACCTAGAAAAGGGGTATAGAAACAAAATCTACCTGCAGATTTTGTTTCTATACCCCTTTTCTAGGTCTATAAAACTTACACGACAGCCTACAACAAAATAATTTGAATGAGACTTAGAGGATTCTTGTTTGTCTGTTTTGAATTCCGTGCAGAGCTACACGAGGGCTATCTGCGCTAGCCATTCCTAATCTAGCAGTGATAGGCTAGAGAAAAGGCAGTTAGTCAACATAAACCACCACCAACTCTTGGGCTACTCTTTTACCAACGAATTGTGGGATTTACCGTCACATTATAACGCCCCCAAGGCTGAAAGGACGAGCATGTTCGGTGATAGAAGATGCCACAAAAGAGCTTGCATCAGTAATATATCTTGCTATTTTAACATAAACACACATAAAACCGTTTGATGTACATGAAATATTTTACATAACTTGAAAGCTTGTTTGACATTGCTGTAGTTGGCAATATTTTTTTGTTGTTGTTGTTGTCATTTCGGCTTCCAAGTGGTGACTTAATCTTATAAGAATATTTACTTTCGTGTTCAAGCATCATAAACATATTTACTGTTGCTTCAAACATTAGATGAAAAATGTCGGAATTAGCAACTCCTTGAGTTATTTTCAAAATAACGAATTTTAAGCGCGTGTTGTTTTCCTTACACTTCCTACAAACTTTAAAGATAAGATATCATCCAGGATACTATTAGCTAATACAGTTCTCTCTCTCTCTCTCTCTTTTAAAGCAATAAAACAAATGAAGTGTCATTAGAGGTCAAACTATGTGTTGTAATACATGTTACTGGTGCTGATAGTCTCAGAGGATAATTTAAGCACTGAAAGCATTTTGTTTCGGATCATTTTGCCTCGGGATTCGTTTGCACATTGAATCTAGGGCTAACATTCAGTAACATTCATGTAATTTTTTTGTATGTTTTGTTGTAAAAGTTAGGGAGTTAATGAGGAACTCCTACCAGATGACTGATTATTACAAAAAAAGACCTTAGTTAGAGATGACAATGCCGGAGGAGCGTTAGCATTTTTATTTTATTTTTTTTTTGTATTAAAGATGAACGTCTTACTTTTCTACATTCCCTTAATAAAATAGACTAGATAGTAAATAAACAACAGAAACTAACTTTTTCACTATTTACATTTTAGTAGTCCTAATGAGTTGTTCTTAGTGATTATAGCAGTAACGTTGTCTATTTGTCAGGTTCTCAACTTCATCTGATATAAACACAAGTTCACTATGTCTCGCTCTTATCTAATTACCCACATTGTCAATCGAACAATCTAATAATCCACATTGCCAATCGAACAATCTAATTACCCACATTGTCAATCGAACAATCTAATTACCCACATTGTCAATCGAACAATCTAATTACCCACATTGTCAATCGAACAATCTCATTACCCGCATTGCCAATCGAACAATCTAATTACCCACATTGTCAATCGAACAATCTCATTACCCGCATTGCCAATCGAACAATCTAATAATCCACACTGCCAATCGAACAATCTAATTACCCACATTGCCAATCGAACAATCTAATAATCCACATTGTCAATCGAACAATCTAATAATCCACATTGTCAATCGAACAATCTAATAATCCACATTGTCAATCGAACAATCTAATAATCCACATTGTCAATCGAACAATCTAATAATCCACATTACCAATCGAACAATCTAATAACACACATTACCAATCGAACAATCTAATAACACACATTACCAATCGAACAATCTAATAACACACATTACCAATCGAACAATCTAATAATCCCCATTGCCAATCGAACAGTCTAATAATTCACATTGCCAATCGAACAATCTAATAATCCACATTGCCAATCGAACAATCTAATAATCCACATTGCCAATCGAACAATCTAATTACCCACATTGTCAATCAAACAATCTAATAATCCGCATTGCCAATCGAACAATCTAATAATCCACATTGCCAATCGAACAATCTAGTAATCCACATTACCAATCGAACAATCTAATTACCCGCATTGCCAATCGAACAATCTAATAACACACATTGCCAATCGAACAATCTAATAACACACATTGCCAATCGAACAATCTAATAACACACATTGCCAATCGAACAATCTAATAATTCACATTGCCAATCGAACAATCTAATTACCCGCATTGCCAATCGAACAATCTAATAACACACATTGCCAATCGAACAATCTAATAACACACATTGCCAATCGAACAATCTAATTACCTACATTGCCAATCGAACACTTTTAGCAACAACAAAAATCATTGAAAATCATAGTGAATTACAAGATCAATAAATTAGCTATACCTTAGGTTTCAGCCTCATTCTGTTAAGATGTTGTTTAGGCTGATCTACTGATTAAAAGTTATGATTTGAACGACAGATTTGCGTTTGCTACTAAATCTATCTGCCGCCATCCATTATTTTATACTACCTGACCAGACTGAAGAAAGCTAGTCAACAGCACCCTACCACCCACGTTAAGGCATTGACGGTTACTCTTATAACGTACCGACGGATTAAAGTTCGGGAAATAGTTTATGGTATTGCACGGATTCGAACCCATTTCACCAATTTCAAAATCCAAATCTTTAATACAGAGCTAATCCGCACCTTTAAACGCCGAATTAGGCTTTACATTCGTTATAAAAATCACTTAAAACTGTAATTTTTAGTTTTCACATTCATCTCATTGTCCAGCTCGGCTGACGAGTTCTAGTATTGACGTAATGCCTTCTAGGCAATGACTTGTAAGAGAGAGAAAGATCTGAATATTAATTATACATACGTCTGATTTCAATTACGAAAACAAAATTAATAGGAACGTTAAAAAAAAAACACTTATCACAAATGTCAAGTCGATTGGTTTCAATCTGCTAATTATTCGGCAATAATATTTTCTAAACGTCACGATCCAAAACGTGAATAACAACAGCAAAGCAGAGAATCGTGCGAAGCGATGGCTTAAAAACAATAATCTGATATTTACAGACAAAATACTATAAAAGGGAGCTGAAAAACTGTCATTTTAACAATTAGTTTTGATATAGCAATGCAAATATTTAAAATATATTATAATTTCTTCACCATTAAACTTTTGAATAGTAATTATTTTTAGCATCTTGTTTTGTTTATTTGCTTTTTTGGTATAGATAGTTTCATTGGGTATTGTTGCGTCAGCGAGGTGACGTGACTAGTGTCACGCCACTTCT